ATGGGGGAGTTATGATCAGCTTTGTAGTACAACTATCGTAAGTCTACCTTAACATGGGGGAGTTATGATCAGCTTTGTAGTACAACTATCTATCGTTATGAAGCTCTACCTCCCTAAACATGGGGAGTTATGATCAGCTTTGTAGTACAACTATCATAAGTCTACCTTAACATGGGGAGTTATGATCAGCTTTGTAGTACAACTATCTTTGTAAACATCAAGTTATCTTTGTAGTACTACCTAAGTCTCCCTAAACATGGGGAGTTATGATCAGCTTTGTAGTACAACTATCGTGAAGTCTCCTAAACATGGGGAGTTATGATCAGCTTTGTGAGTACTACTATCGTAAGTCTCCCTAAACATGGGGAGTTATGATCAGCTTTGTAGTACAACTATCGTAAGTCTCCCTAAACATGGGGGAGTTATGATCAGCTTTGTAGTACAACTATCATAAGTCTACCTTAACATGGGGGAGTTATGATCAGCTTTGTAGTACAACTATCGTAAGTCTACCTTAACATGGGGAGTTAAGCTTCAGCTTTGTGAATACAGCTTTGTAAGTCTACCTTAACATGGGGAGTTATGATCAGCTTTGTAGTACAACTATCATAAGTCTACCTTAACATGGGGGAGTTAAGCTTCAGCTTTGTAGTACAACTATCGTAAGTCTACCTTAACATGGGGGAGTTATGATCAGCTTTGTAGTACAACTATCGTAAGTCTACCTTAACATGGGGGAGTTAAGCTTCAGCTTTGTAGTACAACTATCGTAAGTCTACCTTAAATATGGGGGAGTTATGATCAGCTTTGTTGTACAACTATCGTAAGTCTACCTTAACATGGGGGAGTTATGATCAGCTTTGTAGTACAACTATCGTAAGTCTACCTTAAATATGGGGAGTTAAGCTTCAGCTTTGTAGTACAACTATCGTAAGTCTACCTTAAATATGGGGGAGTTATGATCAGCTTTGTTGTACAACTATCGTAAGTCTACCTTAACATGGGGGAGTTATGATCAGCTTTGTAGTACAACTATCGTAAGTCTACCTTAAATATGGGGTAGTTATCGTAAATCTACCTTAACATGGGGAGTTATGATCAGCTTTGTAGTACAACTATCGTAAGTCTACCTTAAACATGGGGAGTTATGATCAGCTTTGTACAACTATCATACTACATCATGGAGAAGTCTCAGCTTTGTAACATATCAGGAGTTATGATCAGATTTGTAATACTACTATCATAAGTCTACCTTAACATGGGGAGTTATGATCAGCTTTGTAGTACAACTATCGTAAGTCTCCTAAACATGGGGGAGTTATGATCAGATTTGTAGTACTACTATCATAAGTCTACCTTAACATGGGGGAGTTATGATCAGCTTTGTAGTACAACTATCGTAAGTCTCCCTAAACATGGGGGAGTTATGATCAGATTTGTAGTACTACTATCATAAGTCTACCTTAACATGGGGGAGTTATGATCAGCTTTGTAGTACAACTATCGTAAGTCTCCCTAAACATGGGGGAGTTATGATCAGATTTGTAGTACTACTATCATAAGTCTACCTTAACATGGGGGAGTTATGATCAGATTTGTAGTACTACTATCGTAGTCTCCCTAAACATGGGGAGTTATGATCAGATTTGTAGTACTACTATCATAAGTCTACCTTAACATGGGGAGTTATGATCAGATTTGTAGTACTACTATCGTAAGTCTCCCTAAACATGGGGGAGTTATGATCAGATTTGTAGTACTACTATCATAAGTCTACCTTAACATGGGGGAGTTATGATCAGATTTGTAGTACTACTATCGTAAGTCTCCCTAAACATGGGGGAGTTATGATCAGATTTGTAGTACTACTATCATAAGTCTACCTTAACATGGGGGAGTTATGATCAGATTTGTAGTACTACTATCGTAAGTCTCCCTAAACATGGGGGAGTTATGATCAGATTTGTAGTACTACTATCATAAGTCTACCTTAACATGGGGGAGTTATGATCAGATTTGTAGTTATATCATGAAGTCTCCCCAAAACATTTGGGAGTTATGATCAGATTTACAACTACTATCATAAGTCTTCACCTAAATGGGGAGTTATGATCTTAACATGGGGAGTTATGATCAGATTTGTACTATATCGTAGTCTCCTAAACATGGGGAGTTATGATCAGATTTGTAGTACTACTATCTAAGTCTACCTTAACATGGGGAGTTATGATCAGATTTGTAGTACTACTATCGTAAGTCTCCTAAACATGGGGAGTTATGATCAGATTTGTAGTACAACTATCGTAAGTCTACCTTAACATGGGGGAGTTATGATCAGATTTGTAGTACAACTATCGTAAGTCTCCCTTAACATGGGGGAGTTATGATCAGATTTGTAGTACAACTATCGTAAGTCTACCTTAACATGGGGGAGTTATGATCAGATTTGTAGTACAACTATCGTAAGTCTACCTTAACATGGGGGAGTTATGATCAGCTTTGTAGATCGTTCTCCCTAAACATGGGGAGTTATGATCAGATTTGTAGTACTACTATCATAAGTCTACCTTAACATGGGGGAGTTATGATCAGATTTGTAGTACAACTATCGTAAGTCTACCTTAACATGGGGGAGTTATGATCAGCTTTGTAGTACAACTATCGTAAGTCTCCTTAACATGGGGGAGTTATGATCAGATTTGTAGTACAACTTCGTAAGTCTGTAACATGGGGAGTTATGATCAGATTTGTACAACTATCTACCTTAACGTAAGTCTACCTTAACATGGGGGAGTTATGATCAGCTTTGTAGTACAACTATCGTAAGTCTCCCTAAACATGGGGGAGTTATGATCAGCTTTGTAGTACAACTATCGTAAGTCTCCCTAAACATGGGGGAGTTATGATCAGCTTTGTAGTACAACTATCGTAAGTCTCCCTAAACATGGGGGAGTTATGATCAGATTTGTAGTACAACTATCGTAAGTCTCCCTAAACATGGGGGAGTTATGATCAGATTTGTAGTACAACTATCGTAAGTCTCCCTAAACATGGGGGAGTTATGATCAGCTTTGTAGTACAACTATCGTAAGTCTCCCTAAACATGGGGGAGTTATGATCAGCTTTGTAGTACAACTATCGTAAGTCTCCCTAAACATGGGGGAGTTATGATCAGCTTTGTAGTACAACTATCGTAAGTCTCCCTAAACATGGGGGAGTTATGATCAGATTTGTAGTACTACTATTGTTACGATACCTGAAATAGGTGCCAAGAAATCCCACAATCAAACTTGAGAGATTTACAGTTCAAGACTAAATATATCATCTGTAATATATTTAATGAGCAGTCGCAGGAAGGGATCTCTATAACACGTCATTCCCATGACTTATGAATACATTCAGATTAAAATCTTACAAAACAATCATAGCACATGCTTGTAAAAAAACAACATATAAAATAAGTTTGTTGATCCCTCTAGCATGACACTTTATACTAAAACGTCAATGTTTTAAATAACATAACACATTAATTATTTTCATCTTCACACTATTTCATATTTCTACATTTCAGCAATATATGTAAATAAAAAATAACAAACCATCAATACACAAAGTGAAAATAATAAATTTAAAAAAATAAATCTCAGTACAAACCTCAAAAATTACAAAAATCTTAAAATTTAATAGATATTTGTTCTGTTTACTTTCTTAATTCCACAACAACTTCGTCTATGGAATTTGGGTACTTCAGTAAGGAAGTTGACATAAAGTTTTTAAAAATTAAATTAAACCCTTCATTGTTTGATTTTCGTAAATTTTATGTGTGGTACAATTTTGGTTTGGTTTGCCCAGAGATGTTTTTATTCAAATGATCTATTTTTAAATTAGTGATTGTACTGCTTCAGGGTTTCCATGGAAACAAAGCAATGAATACACAGCTTAATCACATGCTTTTGTGCGTACATTATTTATGGGTCCTTGAGCTGTGGATGTGTCAATACATCCTTAATGTTGATGTCACAAATTTATAAACATCCCTACTATATTAATTGGCATCCACTGAAATGTTTCCATTTATTTCGATTATATCTGTGAAGGTGGACAATGAGAACTAGACAATAAAACTCTGGGCTTTTAATGGATTGGGCAAGTTAATATTTTGAAGTTGTTAAACATCAGGGTGCCGTTGTACAAAACAACCTTAACGCTACAACTGTCGTAAGTCTGTGTTAAGGTATGGGAGTTACGGTCACCTTAGCGCTACAACTGTCGTAAGTCTGTGTTAAGGTAAGGGAGTTACGGTCACCTTAGCGCTACAACTGTCGTAAGTCTGTGTTAAGGTATGGGAGTTACAATCACCTTAACGCTACAACTGTCGTAAGTCTGTGTTAAGGTATGGGAGTTACAATCACCTTAACGCTACAACTGTCGTAAGTCTGTGTTAAGGTAAGGGAGTTACGGTCACCTTAGCGCTACAACTGTCGTAAGTCTGTGTTAAGGTATTGGAGTTACGGTCACCTTAGCTCTACAACTGTCGTAAGTCTGTGTTAAGGTATGGGAGTTACGGTCACCTTAACGCTACAACTGTCGTAAGTCTGTGTTAAGGTATGGGAGTTACAATCACCTTAGCGCTACAACTGTCGTAAGTCTGTGTTAAGGTATGGGAGTTACAATCACCTTAACGCTACAACTGTCGTAAGTCTGTGTTAAGGTAAGGGAGTTACGGTCACCTTAGCGCTACAACTGTCGTAAGTCTGTGTTAAGGTAAGGGAGTTACGGTCACCTTAGGCGCTACAACTGTCGTAAGTCTGTGTTAAGGTATTGGAGTTACGGTCACCTTAGCTCTACAACTGTCGTAAGTCTGTGTTAAGGTATGGGAGTTACGGTCACCTTAACGCTACAACTGTCGTAAGTCTGTGTTAAGGTATGGGAGTTACAATCACCTTAGCGCTACAACTGTCGTAAGTCTGTGTTAAGGTATGGGAGTTACAATCACCTTAGCGCTACAACTGTCGTAAGTCTGTGTTAAGGTAAGGGAGTCACGGTCACCTTAACGCTATGGTCGTTTCATCTTGATCATAATTTTTCACTTATGCTCATTAAAATCATTTTAATATCATATGAGCATATCGATACTTTGGAGTCAACACATCCATAGTTACCTGCCAATCAATGACATCAAAAAACCTGTGCATATATCACGTGTCACGGATCCATGTACAATGTTTTTTAATTATGTTATATCAGACCCAGAAGCAGTGAAAAGGCTTAAAATGGGTTTGAGTCTTTTTCCACATTCCTCAATGATTGGGGCGACTCTCGGTAATCATTAATAAAAGATAAAACAAGTTAACAAGGGTCAACAAACAGCATTAACTTCATAACTTTTGCTTTTTGACAAACTCATTGTGCTGATGTTCAGTTGTATTCATTATCGTAGAAAAAGATGTTTTTTATCTCCAACTTAACAAAACAAGTAAAATAATTTTGATCATCAAAGGAAAACACTAGCGAACCACTTAAAAACAGTAGGTCTTGGAAATCCTTAATATTAACACAGAAAAATTCGGCTTATGTTTATATCCTAATTTGATATGCTGAATTGTTACATACTATACAATATGCAACAATTCATAATTCATTTTTAAAGGTAATCCATCATTTATGTTAAACTTGAACAATAAATTTAAGATGGATCTGATGTTTATGATAGTGTTTTAGAGTAATGCTACTCTGAAACAATAACAATCATCACTGGTCATGCATCACAGAGAAGTCTTATTTCACACAACTGACGACGAGAGACAGAGGTCAGCCAAGGTGTCAAGGCCAACCGAGGTCACTGTACTGTTCAAGGCCGTCGGATTGGGGTGGGAGGCAACAGGTATAGCTTGGGGAGCCACAGAATTCATACTGGTCATTGGAACATACTTATCACACGCATTGGCGTAATATTCGTGCAAATGGTTAAGTGGCATCGGCGGTAACGGCAGCGGTGGCGGTTGGTGAGAATACTGGGCACTCATCTCCACGTCGGCATTGGTGTAGGAGCTGATCAGTGCCGTCGTAGCTGCAGCCTCAGCAGACATGACATCGCTGTGTTTCTTCATATGCGCTTTGAGAGAATTTGAATGTCTGTACTTCTGTCCACAGATCTGACACGAGTACGGAAAAGCGTTTTCGTGTATTCGTCTGTGACGCTTCAAGTTTCGGTGATCGCTGAAACGGGTTCCACAGTCAGTACACATGAACGGCCGCTCTCCGTAATGGATGCTCGGCGATGGGATTTCATACTCTGGTAATGATTAAATGCCTGCCCGCAGACATCACAGAGGTATTCCTGAAGATGGTAGCACGTCCGGTGATGGCTCAGTAATCCAGCTTGTTGCGAAAACGTTTTGCCGCACTTATCACACACATAGTCCCGTTGTTCGCTATGAATCTGTTTGTGTCGTCGCAGGAAGTCGTACTTGTACGTGTGATAGTTACACCCCTCTTCCTCGCACTCAAACGGGCTATTGTTGTTGTGTACCTCGAGACAATGGTTACGTAGCTCACGTTCCGTCTTAGTTACAATGTTACATGACCTGCACTTTAAGTGGAAGGCGTTCGAGTGAACAGTCCGCATGTGTCGCGTGAGGTTTGACTTACGGATGTAGGCGACGCCACATTGGGTGCATCGAAAGGCATTGTGTTCCGAGCTGGTTTCTATGTGGTTCTGGAGGTCGTCTGATGTTTCAAACGTTGCAGTGCATCCTGGACACTTCAGCTTCCCCGTCTTATCCCGCTTGGTGTGTTTCGGTTTAATCTTCTGTTTGCGACGTCCCATCAGCCACTTCATGACTGCAGTGCCCTTCTTGTGTTGCCACATTCGACGCCGACTTTCATAGGACTTCTTTTCCTCCTCATCTGAAATAAGAAACATTGATACATTTCCACACTGGACCGCCTCTGTGGTGAGCGGAAGGTCGCGGGTTTAATCCCCTGCCGTGTCTTACCAAAGGACGTTAAATATGGTACTTGTTATTCCCTGAGTGGCGCTCGGCATTAAGGAGTAAGACAAGGACTGGACCGCCTCTGTGGTTAGCGGAAGGTCACGGGTTCAATCCCCGGCCGTGTCTTACCAAAGGACGTTAAACATGGTACTTGTTATTCCCTGAGTGGCTCTCGGCATTAATGAGTAAAACAAGGACTGGACCGCCTCTGTGGTTAGCGGAAGGTCACGGGTTCAATCCCCGGCCGTGTCTTACCAAAGGACGTTAAATATGGTACTTGTTATTCCCTGAGTGCCGCTCGGCATTAATGAGTAAAACAAGGACTGGTCGGCTCGGAGTCAGTATAATGTGTCTGAATGGGTATTCATGCTTCACTGCGGCATGGTATCCCAGTGGGCTAGCACTATAAAACCAGCTTAGGTCTGGGCTAGTACAAGCAGCCACACATACACACGCATGCATGTCGTCCTATGAGCGAAATATTCTTAAGTACGACATTAAACCCCATTTCACCTCACCTCACCACATTGATTGATTTACAGAGCTGGCCCTCATTCCATGAAGAGATCTATATTCAAAATCCTCATCCTTCTATAGAGATTTAACCACTTAAGATCCAGGTTAGATCAATGTCATCGTATCGATGTAGTTCTATGTCAAACACTGGACTGTCTGTTCCAGACTTGATTATTTGCACTCTGTCTTCATATAGCTGCAGGGGTGGTGGGGTAACCTAGTGGTTAAAGCGTTCGCTCATCATGCCGAAGGCCCAGGTTTGATTCCCAACATGGGTACAATGTGTGAAGCCCATTTCTGGTGTCCTGCCGTGATATTGCTTGAATATTGCTAAAAGCGGCGTAAACCTCACTCAATATTGCAGCAATATTGCTGAATGCAGAAACAAACAAACGCATGTATTAGAAAAATTGTCTGAGCTGAAATCCCCACTTGAAGACAAGTATAACAACTGATTCACAAGGGACTACCCCGACACAGAAATCCAGTATATTTGATTGAATCTGTGATGAAAATACTCAGGTTAATTTTGCTGTTAGGTAGAGTGAGTGATTTTAGTTTTACGCTGCACTCAGCAATATTCCAGCTATATGGCGGACTGTAAGGTAGAATCTTGGTAAGTAGCATAAATAGGAACACAATGAAACTTGGATACTGATAAGAACAGTTTAAATTAGATTTTGCATTAATACATTCTTTATTAGTTACATACAGTCGTCCATCTTACTTTTGTAAATTATTTTTAAAAGATATTAATGGCCCCTTATCATTATCACTCTCTTGAAGACTAGGACAAAAGGATTCAAGCCATATTTCCTGGAACTTGATAGGTTATGATAATTATATCCCACCTGGTATGTATTCCTCCTCATCCTCCACATCCTCCTCATCCTCTATATTCACCTCCTCGTCTTCATCGTCCGCTGGTTGTAGCGTCACCTTCTCCTCACTCACCTCCGTCTTCACGGCACCATCAACGCCATCAACCTCTCCATCAGGTCGAGGCTCTGAGGGAACCGTTGCAATTTTGACCTTGGGTGGGCGACCCCTCTTGGCATACTTTTTCTTGTATTTTCGCCTTGGCCTTCCGCGTCGCTTAATGGGCCGGTTGACAAACTCCTGCTCGTCTTCGGACATCTGTGTGGATTTGTCTCGACTGTACTCTGCATTGTATCCATCCACACCATACTTCTTTATAGTCACCTGGTAACAGGTATATAACACACGTATTACATAGTCAGGGATAGAAATACTTCTTTTCTAAGTGTCCCTCAGGGCACCAGGCAAATATTTTAAACGTGCCTTTCAGAAATCAAGTGTGCCCACATGTAGCAGTGATGATGATCATTTGAAATTATTGTTAGTAAACAACAAATGTAACCTGTTTTCTGTTTTCACTGATATGTCTTCTGTTTAAGATGGCTTTCTTAAGCTTCATTTGTTCTGCTTTCCCAACACCTTTAATAGCTAAGAATTTTGTGACAGGTTTACTTGTTCAATATATCTAACATACACAATTTCCTCTTCAATAACCAATCTATCAGTACTCCCATCACTCTAAACGGAAAAACAACCAGATTTCTTGATATCATCCATCATAATTCCAGTGATTTCCTTGGCGATAAAGTCAACAAATAATTTTGCTTGTTTGTCATTTGCGTAAGTGTTTTGTTTTGGGGATTACATGACTAAAGGTGAGGTATGCGTGCCATAAGAACACCAAGAACATTTTTTATCCGTGCCATTTCAGTATTTACCGTGCCTTGGCACCCTAATATATGGGGTATTTCGAACCCTCATAGTCATGGGTAGGACTAGCGACAAACATTAATAATCAGAATTATATTGCGGGGTTGGTTGCAGCGTTCGAAATAATCACCGACCCGGAGGCCCAGTGCCAGTTGTTATTGTATCGGGCCTGCAGTTTCAGATATTTGCAAGCCCTTGTTGCCTTCAGTAAATTATCTGTCAGGGGTTTTTCTCAACTGGAATCTTTCCCATAATTCTTTTTCTTTATTAACATTCGGGAATCATCCATGATCAATCATGCTACAAATACCAGACAGTTTCACATATTTCAGGTATCTCAGCACTTTGCACATAGGAATGTCAACACCAGTCTTTAACAAATATAACCTTCTCTCTGCGCCATAGGCTTCGCTAATTGATATTGTAGAAACCGTGTGAAACTGTGTGCAATGTAGTCTATTTTGTTTTTATTGTTTGATTTAACAAAATGGGCCTGCAGATTTCATTCAGGGCCTGCAGATTTTAAAGCCTGCAGACGGCAGCAGGCCCTGATGGCCAACTGGCACATTAAAGTATTGCAAACACTGGTTGGTTGGTTTGTTGTTTAATGCCGCACTCAGCATTATTCCAGCTATATGCAGCAGTATGTGAACCAGACAATCCAGTGATCAACTGCATGGCCATTGATCTACCCAATCCTGCTGGGAAGAAATAATAATGATTATATAACATGAGTGTTATATAGTGAGGGGCGGTGGGGTAGCCTAATGGTTAAAGCGTTGGCTCGTCACGCCGAAGATCCGGGTTCGAATCCCCACATGGGCACAATGTGTGAAGCCCATTTCTGGTGTCCCCCGCCGTGATGTTGCTGGAATATTGCTAAAAGTGGCGTAAAACCAAACTCAGTCAGTCAGTTATATTGTGATGGGTAGGGCTGATGAAACAGTGAGTTTAGTTTTACGACGCTTTTAGGGAGTAGGGCTTCAACAAGTCCATTATTCTGGACTCGAGTACTCGAGGGGTGAGACTCGACTCGGACCCGAGTACTCGAAATTCATACCTTTTAAGCAAGCGATAGCGTAAATTGCATGACGTGTTCCGATCACACAAGTGAACATTTACTTCTTTCCGACTAACATTTCCTATTGGTCAGAATCAGTATTTGGATGTTTACTTGACAAATGTTTTTTTCTTCGTACTTCTTGTACTGCCTGCAAAACGCAGTGATATACCGCACAGGCGGCATGTGGTTATTTTGCTCTTTTCACTATCCAGATCAAGATACGCCCATACATTTGATTTTTTATCTTTCTCCATGTCTATCAATTGTCAAGATAGTTACCTAATCATTTTAAGAAGTGAAATCTCAAACGATGTTTAATATTTACTCTCATCTGCAGACTTGTAACAACTAATACCATACAGCCACACCTTGTGAGGAGTAAACTACTTAATCTAGGCGTTAATAAAAACATTATCAGATGGGTTAAAGAATTCAGGTTACATAGAACTCAGTATGTCAGTGTCAATGGCTATCAATCTTCTTTGCTCTCAACCTCTACTGGAGATTCACATGGCTGTGTTCCTTCATCCGTTTTGTATACCAATGACTGTTACTTGTCAATATATGACTTGTTCACTGTGAAATTTGCAGATGACGCCACTGTTACTGGCCTAATTTCTGATTCTGAACATTATTATCGTCAAGGCATTGACAAAACCGTAATGACAGTTTTTTATCAAACCTTTATTCAAAGTGTGTTGACCTACAATTTCCTATGTTGTTATGGGGATCTGTCTCATCGCAACAAAAACAAACTTTTCAAAATTGTTAATACTGCTTGCAAAATTTCTGGGTTGTCTTTCGAGTATACTCCCTTTATCTATGAGCGCCACATTGTCAAAAAGGCAGCTAAAATTAGATTTGATAGTTGATATATTTGATCTCACCATCTTGAACTAATTCCTTCTGGACGCTGCTGTCGATTACCTTCCCTCAAAACAAACAGAGCTCGACAGTCTTTCATACCATCAAGTATTCGTGAATGCAACAAATATTTTGAATCACCATCATGTGATTAGAACTAGAATTATTCAGCCTCTTTACCATGTGGTTATTTGAATTATATCATGTCAGTTTTATTTGTAAATAACATTCGTTTTGAGCATGTAATTATTGTGTATATTTTTGTGAACTGTGTATATATTCATTTTGAGACAGTTTGGATGTATAAGAATTTCCTCCGCGATAATAAAGTTATATCTTATCTTAATATTAGACGTTAACGGCCGCTCATGCTTAGCACATGGCAGACAGTCTGTCAACGTCAAATAATCCGAGTTATCTCCCCTTTTCGAGTCCTCGAGTCCTTGAAGATGGACTCGAGTCCAGCTAGACCCGACTCGTCCTCGAGTACTCGAGTACCCGTGGAAGCCCTATTAGGGAGCATTCATAATTTATGGCCAGGGGGTGATGATGATTTTTATGGAGAAGCATGTACAATGTGAATGACCCCCCCTAAAATTTATGTACAAAGTAAATGACCCCACTGTGACCCCCCTGCATGTCATGTACAAAGTCAATGACCCCCTTCCCCCTTTCCATATTTTCAAAGCATAATATTTAAATATTTTTATGTACAAAATAGCTGACACCCACCTAGAAACGTGTGTACAAAATTGATGAACCCCCCTACCTCCCAAGAACAAAATGGGTGGCCCCCTTTAAAATCATCATCATCCCCACTAGCCATAAATTATGAACGGTCCCTTAGCAATATTCCAGCAATATCACGGCAGGGGACACCAGAAATGGGCTTCACGCATTGTGCTGACTGGGTGAGTTTGGTTTTATGCCACTTTTAGCAATATTCCAGCAACATCACTGTGGGGGACACCATAATTGGGCTTCACATATTGTACCCATGTGGGGATTCAAACCTGGGTCTTCGGCGTGACGAGCCAACGCTTTAACCTCTAGGCTACCCCACTGCCCCATTCAAAATAGGAAATCACTACAAACATCTTATTTGTCACTTTTGTGTCAAATTTGGACGTGTCCTTCAAATCTTTACCACAAATCTTTTTGAAAGACTCACTGAGGCCTTGGATGTCGTAGCCCTAAAACAACACCTGAAAGCAGTTGTCAGGCGCTACCTGCAGACATTCCTACCTGTACTCCACCCTGTAGCGAGAAGGTCGGGATGAACGTCACCAGCCTCCAGACCAGACTTGTGGCACTGGTTGATGTAGTCTTCGCATGCTGTGTAGATGTCCGACAACATCAGACGTTTGGCTGCCATGGCAACGTACGGAGCAACAGCCAGGTCAAAACACAGAATTCCTATAAACAGCATATTGGTAAATATTTACATAATACTTATGTTTGTGTACATAATAATGATACTAATGCTTAGAATACTCCCTCCAACACTTAATTTGCCTTTTTCCCTGAAACTGGTTTCTGATCCAGAGTTTAATCGAATACAGTTTTAAAAGTCCATTGAGTTATGCTGTCTTTCTTCCTAGTGGTCTTCCCAAGCGCTATTCAAAGGAGTTGTCTCCCCTGATAAGCGAGGGATGTAAAAATTACTTGCAGCATTCACTAATACCAAGTACAAGAACACATACCAACTTTAAAGGTGAATAACAGGTTGTGAATATAAGTTAAGGTTTAGTTTACTTGAATTTTAACACCACACTCAGCAATATTCCAGCTATATGGCAGTGGGCTGTAAACAATTAAGTCTGGACTAGACAACCCAGTGATCAACATCATGAGCATCGATCTACGCAATTTGGATATGATGGCAAGTGTCAACCAAGTCAGCAAGTCTGACCACCCCATCCCGTTAGTCGCCTCGTATGACTGACTGACTGAGTTTGGTTTTACGCAGCTTTTAGCAATATTCCAGCAATATCACGGCGGGGGACACCAGAAATGGGCTTCACTCATCGTACCCATGTGGGGACGCCTCGTATGACAAGCATGGGTTGCTGAAGACCAATTCTAACCTGGATGTTTACAGGTGAGGTGAAATTGGGTTTAACGTCGTGCTTGAGAATATTTCACTCATATGACGACTTGCATGCGTGTGTATAGGTATGTGCAGCTGCTTTTACTAGCCCAGACTGAAGCTGGTTTTATAGTGCTAGCCCACTGAGATACCATGCCGCAGTGAAGCATGAATACCCACTCAGACACATTATACTGACTCCGAGCCGACCAGTCCTTGTTGTACCCATTAATGCCGAGCGCCAGGCAGGGACCAACAAGTACCATATTTTAACGTCTTTTGGTATGACGCGGTCGGGGATCGAACCCGCGACCTTCCGCTCTCCGGGCGGACGCTCTAACCACTACACCACGGAGGCGGTCCGGATCTTTACAGGTGGTGAGCTGAGGAGGCTTTGCAGTCTCACCTGTATACATCATCTTGATAAGCGGGGCAATAGCGGCATGTTCCACTTCCGGTATACAGAGAGACATATTCTTCTTCAAGTGACACAGTACTGGACTGAATGCTGCGAGAACACACGAATGAACCTTGAACTCTTTGTCCTTGACCTTAACAACAAGGTCACAATGTTGACCTTTCAACCACTGCTGGTGCAGCTGGTGACGAAAATTTTCCGAATGATCATCAATGATGTGCACAAACTTCGTCGCAACATTTGAACTGGACTTCTGGGAATCTTCCTCCGAAGAATCCTCCTTCTTACTCTGCTCTGAATAATTTTCATCCATATTTTCTTCAAGATTCTGAACAATTTCATTCACTCTCTCTGCGAATTTTGAGGCTGTCATTTCCTCGCTTGCTTCATTTGGGACTTGTGGCATCGGAGTTCGATGCTCGTACACTGTTTGCTCAACAGTCATGCGGTCAACACGTGCCATTCCGTCCCCTCCAATCCTAGCCACACCAGACATATTGTTTACTGGTCTGACAGACATGTTATCAACACTATGCTGCACTATGTTATCCATGTTCCGATTTGACATGTTATCCATGTTTCGGTTTGACATGTTATCCATGTTTCGGTTTGGCATGTTACCAATACTTTGATTTGACATACTCATACTGTGTCGTATGTTATCCATATTTTGATTATCACTTTGGCCAGACATGTTATCCATACCTGACCGTGACATGACTCCGCCTCTGTTTGCAGCAATGTCTAGACTCCTACCATTCAATCCATGAGAGGGCATACTTTCAATACTGCGAGGCACAAGCCCGTCCATACCACTGGGCACCATGTTGTTCAAGTCCCTCGCACCAATACTCATTCCACGATGATCCAGACTGTCCATATTCCTTGCCGGTAATGTATCATACCCTCGATTCACGATACCGTCATATCCTCCGACGTTCATATCCATTCCCCTGGCAACGATGCTGTCCAATCTACTGGCGGCCATGTTGTCAATTCTTGAAGCAGCCATATTGTCTAAGCTGGAGGTGGCCATGTTGTCTAATCTGGATGCGGCCATGTTGTCCATGCTGTTGGCAGCCATGTTTGCCATCCCAACATTAACGAGGTTGGGATCTTCATTTTCCATGGCTACCTGCAAATAAATTTCGAAAATAATCAAAATCAAAATTTGAAGTTTTCTGAATTTTCATCGTATATCAAAGTTTGGTCCAATATTTAGTACAAAATTATTACAAATCCATGCATCATTAAAACAGGTCTCCAAGGAGATACCATCCTCAGAGAACTCAAAGAAGTTACCACACAATGCTTTGCAAACCATTGTGACATCATCAGTTATCATGATGTCACAATCACATGAAATCAGTATCTGCCACTGAAGCCAGTTAGCTTTACCATTCAACATGCAGGTTTACAAACTGAACATATTGCTGGAATATTGCTAAATTGCTGGAATATTGCTAAAGCGCATAAAACTAAACTCACTCACTCACTCACAAACTGAAGATGTTGGGGAAAACAATGCTACATGATAAATAGTGAGTGAGTTCAGTTTTATGCCGCACTCAGCAATATCACAGCTATATGGCAGCGGTCCGTAAATAATCGAGTCTGGATCAAACAATCCAGTGATCAACAGCATGAGCATCGATCTGCACAACTGGGAACCGATGACATGTGTCAACCAAGCCAGCAAGCCTGACCACCCAATCCTGTTAGTCACCTCTTACGACAAGCATGGGTTACTGAAGGTTCATTCTAACCCGGACCTTTACGGGTCTCATGATAAATAGAATCTCCTTGTCATGAGAATTGATATTAAATATAGGGCTTCAATACACCCATATCATCACATGTCAATAAAAGATTATAACTCCTCTGCAAGCAGGGATTTACAGGACAAGAATTCCTGCAGCCTATACGCATAACAATTGACAGTGGATGCAACGAAATTTATTGGCGCATCCACAGGGACGCAGAAACAGTCCAAATTCTTTTGTCAAAATTCTAATCAAGTAACAATAAGTTATCACTGAGTTTGCTACTAGCTGGGTTATGGTATCATTTGCAATTTGATTACTGTAACAATGTGATGATCATGATACACAATACAATAACAGTATTAATAATAATATTGAAGTGTCTGGGACCCCCATTTTGTTGTCCAGGACCCCTGAAAATTATAAGCACGAGTCCCAGGGACCCTCAAATACAGGACTGAAGGTAAATCCCTGTGCAAGCCAAGTGGTTTTAAACTTTGATTATATATATTTTAACCAGGCTATTTGGAATTAAAAACTCCATATAAATTTTATAAACGTTTAGGGTCAAATCTGAAGTTGAGTCAGGAGAGGTGAATGACCTAGGAAGGTGCTTGTATGCTCTTTATATCAAAAGACATAAGAATGAGATTTTCTACTTTTCATCTAAATTTGGATTTCACATGTGCAATGTGTGAATCCCATTTCTGGTCTTGCAGTCGTCTTTTACTGAGTGAGTTTGGTTTTACGCCGCTTTTAGTAATATTCCAGCAGTATCATGGCAGGGGACACCAGAATGGGCTTCACACAATGTACCAGTGTGGGGAATCAAACCCAGGCCTTCGTCGCGACGAGCGAATGCTTTAACCTCTAGGCTACCCTACCGCCCCAGTCCACTTTTTAGGGGGAAGTGGCAGTTGTGCCATCATTTCAGAAGCGTATGCACTTCAAGCTGTTGCGAAGGGCTGTGGGGTAGCCTCGTGGTAAAAGTGTTCACTCATCATGCTGAAGACCCAGGTTCGATTCCACACATGGGTAGAATACGTAAAGCCCTTTTCTGGTATCCCTCGTCAAGATATTGCTATCATTTGCTAAAAGCAGCCTAAAACTAAACTCACTCACTTACACCTTCAGGACCGTCAGTCCTTCCTGGATTCCGCGATTCTGCGGTTCCAGAATAAATCGCGAAAATTACCTTTTGATGCAGAAAAATGTACGGTCGACTGAATACGCATTTTCATGCAGAATACCTGCAGGATTTGACATTTTTCTGCTGCAGAATTTACTCATTTTGAAAGTTGAATCAAGATTGACTATCACCCGAAACGAAAAGTAGGGGTAAACATCAAAAGTATGATTGGTTACACAAAAACGAACTGAGACATTTGTTATAACAATATTTTCAAAATATTCCTGAATAAAGATGATTTATTCATAAGGTAATATTCTCTTCAGCACCTTACAATAATATTATCTGAATTTGACATTGCAATTATGTTCACAAAATCGATCTTTTTGAAGATTGAAATTGCATTATTTTGTTGGGGGGGTTTCAAATTTTTAACAGCAGAATTTTGAAAAATGGGATGCAGAATTCACTTAAATTTGCCGTGGAATTCTTAAAAATTCGTCACAGAATCCAGGAGGGATTGGACCATTGTGATGTCACAATGAAACAACACTGCACATCACTACTCTGTACACTCAAGACACTGGTTATTTATACAGTTTACAAACTGACGCTTATGAAAGATGATTTTGGTTGCTGCATGGAATGTCATCTTTATGCATGTGAAACTAGATATATATCGAACAATGTTGATATATCTGATATCTAAATAAACTCCCGGTGAGATTCTCTACTTATTGTCCAGTATCATTTTAAAATAACATCTCATTTATTCAAGATACCAAATGGCTGAAATGTTCTGCAGGCTTAAATTTGTAACCATTCACTATCCCATTGCTAGGCATGATTCTTGAAAGCTGGCCTGTTCATCATGTGTCAGCTCCCAGAAGTTGTATATACTGCCTTGTACATAAAGTTATATCCTTGGAGGGCTATGCAATGTTGTGGATTTCCCTT